TAATACTCACTGCACAGTATTGAGCTTCTCCATTCTGGTGGTTTGCCACCAGCAAGTGCACACTGGTAGGAATACTCAGTAATAGTGCTGCATAGACAGAATGAACTGAACCTCTCACTGCTTTTGCACAGGCACAAATCCATCATATAGGCTTCAATAAAAGGTTCTGGTTTCACAAGTCTATTGCATTTTGTCCACTTGGTATTCTTCAGCTGCTTGATACACCTAGCTTTCTAAAGAGTTTAAACAGAAGTGCATTTAAAATGTTAAAGTGTGGAAAATATGTGATATAGCAGACATCAACACATTATTAAAATTGTCATTATTGTGTTTAAATATTCTTTGAAGGAGCCTATGATCTTTAATCTGTGTGTGTTTGTGTTACGAACTCCCAAAAAAAGTACTTGTAAGCATGACATAGAGTGTATTGTGGGTCATTTAATAAACTAAGGGGTCTATTCAATAAGTTGCCGAAGGATCTAGCCGTAGCTTCGACTGATCCTTCGGATAGCTTTGGCCCCAGGACCCCTTCGGTTCAGTAGAACCGAAGGTCTGCTGTACGGGCTATTCGTTATAGCCTTACAGCTCCCGAAGTTGGCCGAGCAGCTCAGCCGAGCCGAAGGCATATGCCTCACTGAGCCAAGGTGAAAGACGAAGCTGGCCGGCCGACAGCCTGCTTCTGACAACTGGGCGGAGCCAGCCGTCATCTCACGGCTGGCTCCGGCCACTTGCAGAGAGATCAGCGTCCCAGGTTACCAGGTAATCAGGGACGCCATCTGTCATTACACACTGAGAACCCGGTGGGGCCACTAAGTTATCACAACGGCCTCTCCGGGTTCTCAGTGTGTAATGACAGATGGTGTCCCTGGTTACCAGGATTAAACATACAGTTTAAACATATACAGTATCTTTATTGCTGTCCATGGGAATTTCATTCAATTTGCAGACGTTTCTCCCATCTCCTGTTGGGAGGAAGCCTTTCCAAACCTGGTGAAAAAGTGAAGGGAAATCTCCCCAATTGGATACATATAGCAAAAAATAAATAATAAGAAGAACATGAAACTGCTTTTAACCCTTGTCTATCTAAAGCTAAAATAGTTATAGCTTATGGCTATCCATACACTTAACTAGATTTAAAGTGTATTTCTACTTTTGCAGTCAAATTTGAGAAAACCCCTCTAAATGTTTTTTATGTGCTCCTATTCACACACCATACTGAAAAATAACTTTTTTTTTTTACCTTTTACATACAGTATATTGTTACAGGAGACAAGATGGCTGATTGCAGATTTTTCTTAGCCCTTTCATAGTGGTCTGTTCTAATGAAAATACTTGGGACTGAAATATGAGCATTGTGTTTATCTGATACGCTTCATTATCATACAGGGTACAAGACATCTCAGATCCCACAGCCCCTCCTAACATTGCAAAGAAATAGAAGCAAGAAGAAATGTTAACCCTTAAAGCCCTAACCCAAGTAAAAGCAATTTAAACTGCAAGAAGATTTTTTGTTAGCTTATGCTGTGTGAATAGGAACACGTAACAAATATAAAATAGGTGTTATCCCAATTGTGCTGCAAAAGTGGAAATACACTTTAGTGCTGGTGTTGATAGTTTTTTTACTTGTAAATAACAAAAAAATACTGTTTGAGTGCTTTATGTCATTGTATCCTATACTTACATAAATATTACATTTTTTTCCAGGGTCTGCTTTAGGTTTCTCGCAGTTTTTTTCTGGTTTTCTTAACTTTTGTAGTTGGCCAAACATTAAAGGATCTATTTTTAGTCCTGTGAAAAAACAATATTAGCAGAAAAGTAAAATGTCAGCCCATGCCTGGCAGTTACTTTTATAATAATTGTTTTTTTTTTACTCTATATTTATAATTTTTTCCCAAAACCAATACACAGTAAAAATAACAATTCTGCTTCATCTCATATACTGTATATATTTACAAAAACATCCAAATATTTTCACCTAATACAATCATTATTCCTAACTACACCTTAGTTCCATCAATACCATGTACTATTTTTTTCTTATCCCATTCCCCCCTACCCTCCAAAAAAGAAAAGAAAAATAGAAGAGGTGGTAGCTGTGTGGGGATATTTTGTTTGAGAAAGTGATAGTTCAGTGGTTAGGTTGAGGTGGGATAGGCGTCCCTGAAGAGATGGGTCTTTAGGGATTGCCTAAAAGCAGAGTAGGAGATAGACAGACAGGTTGGAGTAAGGAGTTCCAAAGGATGGGATAGACTCTAGAGTCATGGTGGTGAGCATGGGAGAGGTTGAGGAGGGAGTTAGAGAGCAGGAGGTCTTGGGAGGAGCAGAGGAGAGGGTTAGGGTGATACTTTGAGACCAGGTTGGAGATAAATGCAGTTATGTGTTCATTAAACAAATAAATCACCACATTAATTTTAAATGCACGAATATGACTTAGTATCAGCCTCTTGTAATCCACTAAACAGCAATGAGAGAGGGTCAGCACAAGGAAGCAGTCAAATGTGCTAACAAGGACCTGCTGACAGAAAATGAACACTGAGCAGAGGGATTCATCAATCTGTTGCTGCTCATTATTTTCCAGTCACAGTGTGGGGGAAAGGAGATACCCAAGTTGCATTTGCTAAACTGCAGTAAGTCAGGTCACCGACTTGGTTGTATTGTCTTGCGGGAGTGTGCAAGTCTCAGGAAAGCCTGGACAGAAATAGCAAATAAGTTGACATACATGGTAATTCATATATATGTAAATCAACTGTTTATTTAGCTGTTTGCCTGCAGTCACTGTTCAATTCATTTTGTTTTATTGTTTTAACATTTTAACATAGCTGCATCATTTATTTATTTTACTATTATGTTCAGTCTCTTACCATTATATACAAGGTCGTCTTTAGGATTACCATTAAAATTTCCACACAGGCCACATGTTTCTCCCATGTACTTTTGGTTTAGAAAGAGCTATTAGAGAAAATAAGCAAATTACCTTTTTTTATTTGTTTTTTATTGTTTGTTATCTGTTATCAGTGTCCCATTGGTGAGATATACCTTCAATTCCTATCCCAGAGACACAACAGGAAGTGAGAGGAAATGTATCTAAAGATTAAGTTGTCACTGGGACTGGTGTTGCAAGTGGAAGAGTTTGCCACACATCTAGATAAATATGACAATAGTAAGATTTTAGATTTGTAATAAGCTGACAGGGCAGAGCTAGAGTCAGAGTCAGAGCCAGAGCCAGCTGCAGCTGTCTCTTCCCCCTCTAACCCCAGCCAGTGCTGGAGGATCAAAGAAGGGAGGGGAAATCCTTGGGAGGGGGGGGGCAGTGGTTAACAGTCAGTGCTTTCCGCTGGGAGCAGAGACCGAGAGCTGACAGGTCAGCAGTCATGTGATTGATCAACTCTTGGTCTTAGAGATGGCATGTCCCATACATTCAGCATGATATCTACTGCTTATACAAAAAAAGTAGGAATGAACTGGCCATCACTTATTTGTCAGCTTGCTCCTACATACCAGTGTGTTAAGAATAGAGTTATGTTCTTCCTAATGAAAAAAAAACCTCTTTAAGCTGATTGAGGCTAGGTTTACACCTAGGCGATTGAGCTGGTGAGCTACTTGCATGCGGTTGTCTCACGTTTTTGTTTGCTTGATTTTGCTTTGAAAACCATGCAGTTGTCACACGGTTTTCATAGAGATGCAACATAGAGATGCAACAAGCGCCCGAAAATAGCTTCTGAACCTATTTGCGCGACAGGCCATTTTGAACAGCTTCCATAGACCTGAATGCAAATCTCTGTTTTGTGCAATAAATCACCTGGGTGTGAACTTAGCCTGAAACAATTAATCTTTCACACTTGCAACTCAATAATTATAGTAATAATTTTGGATCAGTATTCAAGTGAACAATTGAAGTGCAGGGGAAGTCTTATAAATAAATGTTCAGATAGATACACATTTTACTAACAGCCTCTATGTTTTCCACTTGGTGTCCATATATGATTGTGCAGTGCAATAATTACCAGAATCTGACATAGTGCCCTCTGTAATCTAACAGACCCGGTCAGACACACACCCTCTTATCTGCTCTACAAGACTGCATGAATACACCTGTGCTGAGGGTTGTGGCTATTACTCAGCTATCCCAGCATACATCACTGTAGTGGGGAGGAAGTCAAATTCTGTATAGACAAAAGGTATTTAAAGACATTTCAAAGCCAAAATCAGTTATAAAAGCATAATATGTGAGTGTACAGGACTATAAAAGATACAAAGGCATGGGATTCAATTTGGTCTCAATACCTGTTACCCCCATGGTACTGGGAGAGAGAGAGCACAGCAGAAGCTGTTTCCTTCAGGCTGTTTCCTTTTTTACTCTTGCTCTCTGTCTAAAACTTTCTACAATCTCTAGCTATTAAACTCTGTAAACAACATGTTTAATGCACCAGAGCAGCTAAGAAGAGATAGGCTTTTACTGTATATGTTTAGCAACATACACATAGCATATACATATACACTTGTTAGCTTTTATCTTTCAAAACGTTTTTTTTTTTAATGAAAAGTGTAAAAACAAGCAAATGTGGCAACATTGCCACAATAATAGCAAGTAAGAAATAAAAGAACAGTCCTTGCAGAAAATATCACAGAATGCAAAATACAGGTCACTAAGAACAAAAACAAATACATTTTAAGCTATCAAACAATATCCAAATTGTTCAAATATTTCAATAAGAAGGACGCCAAGGTTTAAAGGATTATTGTTACCTTTTAAGGATGAATGAATATCTTTAAAGAAAATGGAGATTAGGCACAAGGTAAATCTAAACAGTTGCAGCACATTGACAAAGTATTTGCTACATGTGCCTATATTCATTGACCAATCTAACACACCTATTTTTTTTTAAATGCAGGTAACATTTGTAAAGAATTATTGTTAGGGAAATGCCAGCACCTAATCTCTACAAATTCACGTAGTCTGCCATAGACTGGCATTACATTTCTACCTCCTATATACTCACATGAATGGCGTTATTCTCGTCCAAAAAAAAATCTAACATGAATTTAACAGCAATCTTCAGTGTATCCTCATTTTTTTCTATTTGGATGCCATTATCAATATATGGAAGTTCTAACCTATGGAATTAGTAGAGAAGACAACATATTTAAGATCTGGATTTAATTTATTGGTCTCTTGAACAATTTGCTACAGATAAACATAGTTACTTTACATTCTTTCATTTTTTCTTTCTTGATCACAGATGCATAGTGATTCACAAACCAAAAAGAGCCTTCATCAAACTGTCGCCAAAAGGTTGGAAGCACATAATTGTCTAATATGTCTTTGTATGCTGTAACATTAGCAGTACCTTTAATTCAAATTAGGGAAAAGCATTGCAATGGGACTGGGATCAGGACTTCTTTGTTTGTCTCTATGTTGTGGTTCAATGTTACCTTAAAAAATATACTTTCTTGTAAAGCTGGCAGATATAAAAGACACAAATAATTAGCTCTGTAATCATTTACAGATCATTACATGCAAACAGTGTAATTATGTGCATTTGATGTGGTACCTGCCTCTTGCAGTGCCTGTACAGCAGGACTGGAATGTGAGAGAAAGAAGCAGTACAAGAGCCATACATTTCATCTGATGACAAGAAGCATGCTAATTGAAATAGAAAGAGTGACAGAGCAATGAGCTCATCACTGTGCTGCTTCTCCTTTTACTGTTTAGTATCAAATTGGGGTGGTTCCAGGAAGACTTGGACTCAGAGGAAGTGGGTTGAATAATGCTGGCCATCAGACTGAGAACATCTAGTGGCAGAAAATATTACACCCAAATCTCTGGATTTTGCATGAATATTGCAGCAAAAGCTTAAAGTTAGTTACTTTATCTTGTAATATGCTATTTGTTTTTATATTGCTATTTTTGGCTGGATTTCTGCTTTAAGTTTTAGATCAAAGACTGGTGGTCTGTTTTCTGTTCCAGAATGTCCTAATACTACTTAATTTGTCCCTTTATAATTTCAATTTCAGTTAAGATGAGGCTTTAGTGTTTTGTATGCATGGATTACACAAAACATGGTGCTACATATGAAAAAAGTAATCTTTGATTAGATCATTGTTTAAGTAGTGATGTGGCATGTCTCAGGTGATATTTAGCAAACTGGAAAAAAGCAAGCAATTGTTTTATGAAGCAGTTGTTTTACTTATGGCAATCTCTCTATAATCATCACCCTTGTTAAGGGTTTCTTGTATGGCAGAATCATGCATACAAATTTTAACAAATGGCAAAAATACCCATAAATTCTTAAGTGTCGCCCTATGGTTGTTTTTGATCTTTACGAGAATGATATGGTATGTCTTTGCACTTATCTAGACTTATGTAGACTGAATGATGTTACTGTGGACTAATGGGAAATCATGTCTTCATACATTTTTGGTTAACCTTCTCTGACCTTATATGCCTCAAAATTCTACATTTGTGATCACTGTACATCTCTTTGAGCAAATTGAGGTTAAACTTTGTTGTAAAGAAAAAGTACCCAAACTTGTGTGATTTTTAAACAGTAGGGCAAATGGTAATTTTTCACACTATATAACACTTTGTACATGTTTTAATCAAGTAATGTTTTTGTATCACAAAGTAATCTGATCATTTGATACAAGAATTGTCCCAAGAATCCTCCTTCCCCATCCAATCCCATTTGGAAAAAACACTATAAATAAGCATACAGGACAACATAATTGAGCTGCGGAAGCTAAAAAAATTAGGAATCAGTAAACTTTTTAAACTGTATGTGAGCACATTATATTTACAATATAGCTTTCCCGTCTGATGTTATGTACAAATTCAGCACATCCAGCTGACTATTAAACTGACCATTAAATTAGAATATGTGGTTTTTTTCAAAACACACAAATAGACCTTGAGACCACGGGGTTGATTTACTAACCTTTTAAACACACCACGAACGTGTATACACCTCTGTAGTGTGTTCCCTCCCAGCATGATCTATGGGAGGAATCGAAACACCTTTGTAGTGTGTACACACCCAGCAGGTGTGTTGTGCAAAGCCCTGCAATGAATTGCAAGGTAATGTGGTGTAAATTAGCTCTATGTTATGTTGCTTGCGTTGATGAATGCAGGAATGTAAATGCATGAGCTAACCATTTTTGTCTAAACTGTGAAGCAGCATTATATATGCATCATGTGCATGATTTTTCCATATATGGCATTAGTGGAAATATGCTTTTAGAGACTTTTTGGTTGATAAATACGTTTTGCTGTGTGAAAATCACACACACCTGGTGTGTGTGTGTGTTTAGGTTAGTAAATCACCCCCCACATCTCAGGGTGCAAGAACATCTCGCAGTTAAAAATAGTTGTTTGTTTGTGTGCCATAACAATTGTCTGTATCAAAATATCTGGTGGAAATACTTCCTCATCCAACATCCGTAATAAACACACTTTTGGATCCAGTGGAACATCTATGCACCCTGGATATTGCCCCTTTGACTTCTGTTCAATAATTTACCAATTCAGGGCAATGCCATGACATATGAATAAAGTATCTTGGGTCTCTGTTGCATTTAGGACAAAAAGGATTATTCCTCTTTCCATAATGATACAATTAAAAATGCATGCAATATGCTCTGAAGGATAGGGCCAATGGTACTTGGGGCAGAAGGGACAAATCAGCCTCCAATTGATTATCAAAGATGGGGCCAATGTCCCCAATCCAGCCTATTTTCCATGGCAATTAATTCGATTTGAAATAGCTACACAATGGACATGTACAGTGTATGTATGCGATATTAGGCCTTTTTGTGTGTTGTTTTAGCAACAGTATGCATGAGGTTACTTTTATCATATCTTAGAGTAGAGAGACATGCTTGTGCAGACAACGCATGTCGTAATTGTAAGTGTTACTTCAATTGCTATTTGGTAAGGTTATTTTTGCTTAGGGAGTTCGATTAATACAGCTGGTGTGTAAAAAGAATATTCCTAGGCAATTTTTGGAGTTCAGTGTATTGATTATTATCTAGAATAAGAAGGGTGGGGTAATTTGGGGTTAGCTGTACCTGCTTTTTTTTTTTTAAACAATTTTTTTATTGTCGGACAGGAAGAAACGGAAAAAACATTACATGACATATACAGGCGTACCATACAGCACCAAATATGCATAGCATTAACAGTTTAGACGGTACATCTGCAGTATCAATAAAACCTCGACCCATCCTTTTTTTTTTTTTTTTTTTAAACACATTAGCATATGTCCTGCCAGTTTAATCAGTGTCATATCTCAACTCTCTTCGTAAACCGTTCACCTAAAGGTCGTTTGTCTACCCACCTTTGTTAAGTAATCCCAGCTCTTTAGGCCCCCAATATAAATACAAAGTCGTCCAGCCATGCATTGTAGGACCAATGGTATCTTAGTATCAATGTGATATTTGTATGCCAAACTATTTAAGGGTCTAATCCCCGCAGTTGATGCATCCTTTGGCATGGTGATCTTCATGAGTTACCCCCTAACTTGGCCTGTAGTGTGTATGTTGAGTATTGAAAGGGGGACAAGAATGACTCCCTCTCCTGAGCAGTAAATGCCTTGTCGATAAAGGACATCCATCTACGAAGAAAGAGAGTCACCCTGTTCTCCTCCTCCCTTTGGGTCTCCGCATCCAATTTTTCCAGATGGAGTAGATCTAGGAGAGAATGTCGTAAACCCTGTACGGTGGGAGGATGTGGGGAAAGCCACTCTTTCATTATACATCGTTTGGCTGCTAGGGAGGCTATGTTTGTCCACTGCCTGTGATTCTTGCTCAACACAAGTGAGTGATCCCAATAGCCAAACAACAGTAGAAAGATGTCCGGCTTCTCCGAAACGTCCGCCATTTTAAACTGCGGTTGCAGCCTTTTGCCGCGTACGGGTGTCCCCTTGCCCCTGGGTCCAGCGCGGCGTTTCGCCAGAAATTTGTCCATGGCTGCTCTGGTACGTCGCAGAGAGGAGGACTCGTATAGGTTTGTGGTCTTTCAGATCGTTTTTATATGCTGGTTAGTCCTAGCTGCGCGGGAGCTCCTCACTCCGTGTCCGCTACATCAGGCGCCGGAACCGGAAGTCTGTACCTGCTTTTAAGTGGGTAACTATTAATTTCCCAAGTCAGAAGTCTGCAAATGGGATTATCCTCCTCTTCCACTCCCCATCGAGCCAAATGTTGAAGCAGAGCTGGCAGAAAATATGTTTTGGCATGAGGGACATCCTGATTCCTCAAGTAAGTGAAGAGTAGATAATCTAATCCTGGCTTGTAATTTTTCATAAATTAGGGCTCAAAATTGTGTATTGATACATTTATACCATTTTTCGGATGGCCAGATAGGGGAGTTGTGTAGCACTTATAACAGTTGAGGGAGCCACATCATTTTAAGAGGATCTATGCTGCAAGTTACAGAAAAGGTGTTTTTTTTACTACAGAATTTACATTTGTTCTTAATTGTGCTGATTAAAGGCTTACAGTATGGTTATAGTTCAGGTAATCCTATACCTTTGGTGTAATCATCACCCCAATATATGTAAAAGGTCACCACCACAATCTGTAAACACATTCTGGAAGGGAATGGGAGGGGGGAAGATCTAAAGGGAGAAGCACTGATATACCCTAGTTCACCGTAAAACCAGAGAAGTTACCAAAAGTATGTATAAGTGACAATATACAGTAGATACTAAAGAGCTGAATGAGTCTTGCAGGTATATTAAAGCATCTGCATACATTGATATCCTTTCCTAAAGCCAACTATCTCTTTTAACTCCCTGATAAGGGCTGCTGAAGGATCTAGGGCTAGAACAAAGCGCATGTTCCTTGATGTAAGGAATTTTAGAACTACCAAGGATTTGGGTCATCAAATGAGACCACTATTTAGTGAATACCCTGTTAGATCCCTAGTAGTAGATATGTGCGATTAGTTTCGTTCCGAAACGAAATTCGGACGAAAGTTTGGAAATTCGGAGATTTGGATGTATCTGAATTCTGAATTACAGCTAAAACTAATGCAAACAAATCCAAATTCCCGATTTCCTGAAATCTGTTTTTTGGACGAAATTTCGTTTTTTAGTGGTAGTCCGGTCAAAATTTAGTTT